TGGGAAGAGCGCGATCCAGCACCGCCTAAGGCAGCCTCCCAACGCCAGGGCAGGTCTCTGGGGTCCCCAGCCTGGCCCCGCTGGCCGGCGGCGGGTGCAGGGGTCCCTGCGGGGACTTACGCTCCGGGGTAGCTGGGCTGTGCCGGGACGTAGGGTGGTGGTGCTGTGGGGGGAGCAGATGGGGTGTCACCACGCCACCAGGCCCCCTGGGGAATAGGGAGGGTCCCTGTTCCCCCCGGTGCTCACCTGTGGGGTTGTAGACAGGGGGGCCAGAGGGGTACATGGGGTACTGGGCAGCAGGGCCGGGTGGGGGGTACATGGCCATGGAGGTAAAGCCAGGCTGGGGAGGTGTAGGGCCGGCTTTGGGGTCCATGGGAAAGGGAGCTGGGGGAGCTGCAGGGGGGTAGCTGGACAGGGGAATTTCCAGGCCTGTGGAAGAGATTGGAGAGATCTGCAGCACCCTGACACAGGGACAGGGATGGTGCCTAAGAGTGGCAGCGGCCCTCAGGTTGGTGGGCGCTGGGGTGTTATCCACACCCTCATTGCCATGCCATGCCCAATTTTCCCCCCTCCTCCCTTCAGGTCCCACCACCTCATGCCCCGACCCCCCCCTCCCGCCACAACCCCTCCACCATGTACCTCAGGATGTCTCCTTCTGTGCCATCTGTACCCTACCCCTCCTCCTACACCTTCATCCCTGCAGAACACTCCGCATCCTCTGGATCCTCCTCTGCATTCCAACATCCCCCCTTCTCTTTGCCTCCCCCACCACTCCCCCCACCTACAAGACTCTTCTGCTCCCTCTCAGCTTCCACCTTTCACCTCAGCTTCCACCTTTCACCTCAACACCCCTGCACATCTCTAGCACCCCCTGCCAGACCCCTTCACCCTGTACCCACAGGATCCTGCAAACCCCCATCCCTACAACTTCCCCCTTTCCATCCCCAGGCCTCCCTGCATTCCTTGAGGCCTCCTCAACATCCCACCACCCTGAACCTCCAGAACCCTCCTGTAGCGCCCCCCCCCCATCCCTGCTGCCCAACTCCCACACTCTGATCCCTCCCGCATTCCTCCAGGCCCTCTGTGCTTGCCTCTTCCCAAACCTCTTCACTCTCTACCTACAGGACCCTCCTGCATCTCCCACCCCTATAGCCCACACACACACCCCAATTCCCACAGGCCTCTGTCCAGGCTCCCCCAGTCCCCCACCCTGTATCTACAGCACCATCATGCACCAAGCCTCCTCCTCACCCCCCATCCCCCTTTCCCCCAGGTCCACTTAACCCTGCACATCCTTACCTGCAGGACCCTCTCCTCTTGCACACCCTTCATCTCCTATCCCTACAGCCCTCCACCAGAACCCTTTTCCCCCTGAAACCCTCTAGGCCCCCTCAACCCCACTCCACCCTCTTTTCCTACAGTACCCTCCTCCACCCCTTCCTCCTGCACCTCCATCCCTGCCCTCTAGCCCCACACCTTGCAGGGGGGTGCGGGGATGCTGCCGGCGCTGGTACAGGTAGCAGCAGGAGCACATGAAGCAGCAGACGATGGTGGTGACGATGGCGATGAAAAGCACCACGGCTGAGGCGATGCCCGCGATGGTCTTGGGGCTGTAGGACCCCCAGGCATGGAGAGCAGGGGCTGGGGGGCACCCAGGGTACACACCAGCACCCAGCCAGCACCCACTGATACTGCCCACTGCCCCATGCCCAGCACCCAGTGACACTGCCCAGTGCCCAGAACCAATGCCCGTGACATTGTCCAGCACTGCTATCAGCACCCAGTAGCAGTGACCACTGCCCAGCAAGCACCCAGTAGCAGTGCCCACCCAGTAGCATTGCCCACCCAGTAGCATTGCCCACCCAGAAGCAGTGCCCACCCAGAAGCAGTGCCCAGTACCCAGTGCCAATGCCCTGTACCAGTGCCCACTTCCCAATGACCAGCATCCAGTAGTAGTTAAGCAGTGCCCAGCACTGCCAGCACCCAGTGCAAGTTTCCAGTACCAACATCCAGCACCCAGTGCCAACACCCAGTACCAGTGACCAGTCTGTGGTATACATCCCCCAGTGTGCTGGTCCCATCATCAGTGCACAGCAACCAGTGCTCAGTACCAGTGTCCAGCACCCAGAACCCAATACCAGCACCCAGTACCAATGCCAAGAGCCTGGCACCCAGTACCAAGTGCACAGCACCCAGTAGCAGTGCACAGCACCCACTGCAAAGCACCAGTGCCCAGAGACCAACAACCCAGTGCCAGTATCCAACACCCAGTACCACTGCCCAGTGCCCAGTACCCAACACTCAATACTCAGCATCCAATGTTAGTGCCAGCACCCAGAGCCAACAGCCTGGCAGCGCAGTATCACTGCCCAGTGCCCAGAACCAGTGCATTGCACCTGCATTCAGCACCCAGTAACAGTGCCCAATGCCCAACACCCAGTGCCCCCACCAAGTACCAGTGCACAGCACCCAGCATTCAGTACGAGTGCCCAGTAGCAGTGCTCAGCAGACAGCACCACTGCTGAATGCCCACAACTCAATGCCCAGCACCCAGTACCAGTGCCCAGTACAAGGGCCCAGACGCCACTGCCCAGCACCACTGCCCAGTGCAGAGCATACAATGACCAGCACCCAGTACAACTGCCCATCACCAGTACGCAGTACTTAGTGCCCACCACCCAGTCCCAGCACCCAGCCCACTCTGGAGAGCCCCCAGCCCCATCAGCCCCAGCTGTGGCACCTGAAGGCAAGGCAGTGGCGCTGCTGGCGCTCGGTGAGCAGGCGCAGAGGGTCTCGGCAGCAGTACCGCTGGTGGCATGTGCCGCAGCAGAAGGTGAGGAACTCGCAGTCGAAGCCAGGGTGCCATGACCCGTTTCTGTCCACATACCACAGGCAGTCTTCGCCCCCGGCCACTGTGGACAGCCACCTGTCACCGGGGCCTTGGAGCACCTTGGACCACCACCCTCAGGGGTATCAGCAGCACCCCATGCCCTTCCTCCCTCACATGAGCACAGCCTGTACCCCACTGTGTCCTATTCCCCTTGTACCCCGTTCCATCCTGCCCCAGTACATCCTGCCCCAAAGTGTGCCCCTATACACCCCCAAATACCCTGCTCCTTCCTGTCCCCCTGTTCCTCATACCCAGCCCCACATCTCCTATACCCTGCTCCATCCTGCCCCCAGACTGTGCCTCTATGTACTCCCAAAACCCTGCTCTGCTCCATCCTGCCTCATATCCCTTAAAACCCTGCTCCATCATGCCCTTGTGTACCCCCATATCCTGTTCCATCCCACTCCACTTCCTTCTAAACCCTGCTCCTATGTGCCCCCATACCCTGCTCCATCCAGCCCTACATCCTTGCAGAAGCCCCTCCATCCCACCCAAATCTCCGACCCCTCCAGATTCCTCCAGATCTGCTCAGCTTCCCGTCCTTCTGCGTGTTCCAGTAGCACTTCCCACTCTATTTCTGTCCAAAGCCACCTGTCTTCCCAGAAATAGCCGCGGGCCGAGGCCCGGGGGCGGCCAGAGGCGCCGGGGCAGGGGGTGGGCAGCCAAGGAAATGGCTTTGCGGGAATTTCACATGGCATTATTCACACACCCCAAAATGGGACCACGGCAGCTCAGGGACAAGTGGGGAAACTGAGGCACGGGGTTCGTGCATAGGAAGCCCCCAGATTCCCCCGGGCCTGGGCATCCCGGCTCGGTTAGCCACCGGCTCCGTGCCTGCTGTTCCCGGGGCCACCCCGGAAGCAGCAAATGGGGGGCCAGGTTTGGGGGGAGTGGACACAGTTCCCAGGGGACACTGTTGCAAGCGACCCCCGGTCAAAGGGGCCGTGTGTGGCACTAAGTCCCTCCCACCAGCGGGAACCCCGTGTCACGGATGGTGGCACCGTGTCCAGTCGCAGGGTGGCACCGGATCCCCCGGCCCTCCCCGGTCCCCGTATATCACTTACCCATCGAGGCGGCCACGGCCACCAGCAGGGTCCCAGCCAGGGGCCAGCCACTCCCGGGGCCGCCGGGCCCCATCCCGCGGCCGGGCCCGGTGTCCCCGCTCAGAGCTGCCCGGGACAAGGGTGGCGGCTGCGCGGCGGCATCGGGACCGGGGCCGCTCCCGTAGCTGGTCCCGGTGCCGGTGCCGCGGGGCCGCTCCTTCTGCCGGTATCTCCCGGTGCCGTCCGGTGCCGGTGCGGGGCCAGCGCAGGCCCGCAGTGACGCCGCAGCCCAGCGGCGCTCGGTTGCTGACCGGTGTCCCCCCCCTCTCCCGTCCCCTCGGCGCCGCCCCTCGCCGCAGCCACCGGCCCCCGCCCGCCCCCACCGGGAGGAGCGGCGCCGCCGGTCCCGGGCACTGTCAGGCCCGAGCGGGGATACGGGGACCGGAGTGTCTTCTCTGGCACTGCCCGGCCACCACCGCATCCCCCTCAGCAACTCTTATTTCCCCTCTCCTTGCACCCCATCCCTTTGATCGTCCTTGCCCCAGCCCCCCAACCCCTACATCCAATCCCTTCCCTACCCCCTGCTCCCCATCATTTCCCTTCCCAGCACCCCTTCTCCCACTTCATCCTACCCTTGTACTCCTTATTTGCCTGCCCTGCACCCCATCCCTTCCCTTGCACCCCATCATTTCGGTTTACAGCACCCTTTCTCCCGCCCCATCCTTTCCCAGAACACGTTATTTCCCTTCACCCATCCCTTCTCATCCCTTCACCCATCCTTGCACTCCTTCCCTGCACCCTTCCTGCGCACCCTCCTGCACCCCAACCCCACACCCTTCACCTCCATTCATCCTTCCCTTCTACTCTTTGCCCCCTTCCCAGCCTGGGTCAATGGGTGCCAGGGTTGCACAGCTGGATCAGGGGCTACCTCTTGCCACTGGCATCACCTGATTACTGCCCCAAGTACAGCCAGACCCCAAATCCACGGAGTCCCATCCTGGCAATGCCAACAGGACTCAGGGATAGGGGACCTCAGAGGGGACATGGAGGTGACACATCCTCAGACTGACGTATCCCAAAAACCACTTTTATTAGAGACCAGAACCTCAAATTCAGGGTCGTGATGATACCAATGCCACCATAAGCACTGGGGTCACAGTGTCCTATCAGCACTGCAGTGCCAGTGAGGGAACACAGGGTGGGGGCCAGCCCCTGCCACCTCACTGTAGCTTCCTCCTGTGCCCCCACACTGGGGTGGGGAGTCATGAGACGTCCCTGCCGCCCCTGGGCCAGCCAGTATGTGCCCCCGCCCCAGGGTAGGGGCGTGAGCACTCACACTTGGGTGACAATCTCACCGTTCTCGGGCATATAGACCTGCACGGGCACGCCGGCTGCTGAGCGTCGCAGCACCTGCACAGGGGGACCCTGGGGAGACAAAGACCCTGTGGGTGTTGGCATCCTACCTTGTTTGAAGGGCACCACTGGGGGCACATCCTGGCACCAGGATTGGGCTGGAGGAGTTGTGGGGGTATGGTCACAGGTCCCCACGTGCCCAGCCTGTGTCCCAGCTGTGCCACTGGTGCATTTGTCCCAGTAAGACTCCCAGGTGGAAAGGGGGAGCTGGCCACTGAGGTGTCTGCAGGGATCTTTCCCTGCTCAAGGCCACCTCAGTGCTACCCCAGGGACCCACATAAGTCCTGCTTGTGGGAACCTGGGTGTGACATGAGGGACCCACATGGATCCTGCCTGAGGGACCCCCCTGAAGTCCTGGTCCTTCCCATGGGATCTCATGGGACCCCTGTCTTGCCCCAGTAATCCCCTTAAGGTTCTATTCTTTCCTGTGGGACCCCAGTTCTGCAACAGGAACCTCTGTAGGGTCCTTGTCTTGCCCTTGGGATATTCAAGAGAAAGTAGGGACCTACATGGAACCCCAGTCCTGCTCCAGAGACACCCTTAAGGTCCTGGCCCTAACCCAGGGACTCACATGGGACCCCAAACCTGTCTCAAGGGATCCTGATTCTGCCCCTGGGACCTACACAGAACTCCAAACCTGCCCATAGGATCCCTGGCAGGTCCTCATCCTGCCCCAAAGAACCTTAAAAACCTTACTTCTGTTCCCAAGGACAGAAAACCCTGGTCTTGGCCGTTGGACCTCCTCAGGAACTCAGTCCTGCCCCAGGGACCCCTCTGGAACCCAAATTCTTCCTTTGCGATTCCTTCAGGACCTTAATCTTCCTATGGGGACCCACTCAGGACACTGGTCCTGCCCCAGGAACCATCTGGGACCCTCCAGACTCAACCTATGGGACCTTGGACCTGCTCAGAGGACCCTCAGAGGGTCCCAATCCTGCCCCAAAGGATCTTAAAGGACCTTGATCTTCTCCTCAGGACCCTCCTGAGACCATGGTCCTGCCCCAAGGTCCCTTCTGAAATCCCAGTCCTGTCCCAATAACCCTCATAGGACTCCATGGATTCCCTCAGGACTTCACTACTGCTCTAAAAATCCTCATGGGACCCCACCAGAGCCACGCGTCCCTACACTACCTCAGGGTACCAATTCATGTCACCTGCAGGACAACACCCAGGGGACCTCCCTTCTCCCACATGACCACTCCCAGCTAGACACTGTGTCCTACCTGAACCAGTGACAGGATTCCACGAGCAATGGGCACACCCCTGGTGGTCCCACCATGGGGTTTCTGGAAAGCCCCTTGACGGTCGAGGGAGTGGGGCCGAGCACCCCTCAGCCGGGCACGTTGGTGCCATGACTTGAGCTCCTCAGTGACAGCAGCCTTGGAGAGAACCCGGGCCCCAGCGGGCACGTAGTCTTTGAGCGAAGGTGTGCGCACAATGCGGCTACGCGAGGGCACCAGGCGCTGGTACCGCAGTGGGGCCAGATCCTGCTCGTACAGGAAAGTCAGGGGGCCGGCAGGTGGCTGGAGCTGGAGGGCACCCCGTGAGTAGTAACCAGGCTCAGTAAGGGGCAGTGGAACTGCAAAGGACATGTCAGGGCTGCTGCTGCCCGGGGAGGTGGCGTGGGAGATGCTGGAGAGGTCGGAGATGCTGTCATCGGAGCCAGAGCAGCACGCAGGGTCAGGGCTCAGGACGCAGGAGGTGGGCACAGTGACTGTGTAGTAGGTGGGGCGCCGGCGGGGTGCGGTGCTGCGGCCCCGTGGCTCAGCTGGCTGCCAGCATGGGTCCACCCTGCAGGCAAGACACTGTGGCTGCGGGAGGACCCTTCCCCTCACCCTAAAGCCAGGACAAGCCCTGGGAGAGGTGCACCCATGAGTGTGGGGCACAGCCACCCCATGGGGAGACACCTAGCCTCCTCCCAAGATATTAGCTCATCCTCCCCATGGGGCTGACCTCCATAATCTCCATAGGGTTACTTCCATCCTCTCCATGGGATTATCTCCAACCTCCTCTCAATGGATTTCTGTCCATCCTCCCCATAGTGTTTTCTCCCACATCCCCATAGGATTATCTTAATCCTGTCTCTGGGATTATCTCAATCCTCCCCATAATATTGTCTCCATCCTCCCAATGACTGAGCTTCACCATCTCCACAGGGTTAGTTCTATCCCTCCCCATGGGATTATGTCTGTCCTCCCCATAAGATTTTCTCCATCCTCCCCAGAGTTAGGTCCACACTTCCCTTGGTGTTCTCTCCATTATCTTCTCCATGGGATTATATCCATTCTCCTCCCCATAGGTTTAGCTCCATCATCTCCATGAGGTTCTCTTCATCCTCTCCCACAGGATTACTCCCATGCTCCTTCCCACAGGGTTAGCTCCATTTTACTGCCAGTGGGACTATCTCCATCCTTCCTATGGGATTTTTTCCAACATCCTCCCCATGAGCTGAGCTCCTTCATCTCCACAGGGTCATTCCCATCCTCCTTCCCATGGACTGAGTTCCATCCTCCACAAAGGATTATCTCCATCCCCCTCTCCATGGGGTAAACTCCATCCTCCCCTGCAGAAGCCCTTATCTATCCTCCCCATGCTCAGGACATACCTCAGAGATTGGGTCTGATGACGTCCTGACGACTCTGGGGTGCTGGGAGCACTGGAACCCGCCTTGCGGCACAGCACCAGGGTCCGGATGGGGACGAACTGGTAGGGAGGGTCCCCTGTCCTGGACACTGGGGAGCCTGCAGAGTCAGGGCTGCTGGGGGCCAAGGAGCTGGCAGGGGCAGCCATCAGGGACCCAAGACAGCATTGTGAGCTCTGGGTTTCCCCATCCTTAGCGTTGATGTTGGGATTTTTGGCCCTCTCATAGGGTCTGTCCAGGCTGGTCTCCTGCCAGGGAATGGGGGGGAGCATCAGAAGCCCTGACTCCTCCTCCTCCTCCTTGGTGGGGTCCTTGGGAGATGGGCACCTGCGTGGGGTGGCAGGTCCTGGTGGCTGTGTGTCCTCTGCAGGAGAGATGGAGGATTGGGATGGTGGCGACACAAAGAGAGGTGGAGGGAATAGGTGGACGGTTGGCATGGAGGGGAGATGGGGGGGTTGGGATGGAAGGGACACACAGGGGAATGGCACACAGGGACATATGGCAGTGGAATGGGATGGAGGAGACACAGGGAGAGTAGGGATAAAGGGGACACAGGAAGGGTTGGAATGGAGGGAACATACCAGGAGTCCCCCCTGGTCCCCACAGCCCCCTTCACCCTCCTCCAGCAGGTCGGTGTCAAATATGGAGCTCTCGACAGAGGCACTGAGCTCTATGGGGCTGGGCCCTGTGAGAACAGAGCTGGGGCCGCCTCCGGGTGCCAAAGCGCTCCCACGGCCCCGCCACCACCCAGCGCATCCCCGCGGGCCTCCGCTCCCCTCTCCCACGCCACTTGTCCCAACACGCTCTGGGACGGCAGCACTACCGGCCAGGCCGGCTCTACCGAGCCACGTGCAGTTCCCAGCCTGCCTGGGAGCAGCAGGCTGGGGGCACCAACAGGGAAGGAAATGCCGCCACCATGGTCCTGGTCCTTGGAGGGGACAGGGACAGAGAGAATGGGGAACCCCCCTGGATGGCCACCCACTGGGATGAGGACACAGCAGCTGGGCCACATCCCACCCCCCTTTGGGTGCAGGTGCTGAGGATGGGTGACTGGGGATAGTTACAGTGTGTAAGCGGCAAGGCTGAAGTATTAGGGTATTTTCAGGGGGGTGCAATCAACGGAGGTGAAGTACTGGGGTGGATTCAGTGGGGGTACTGCTGGAGATGGTTTATCAGGGTGCATGCACTATGGATGGACTTCCGGGGTGCATTCAGGGGGTACAACCACGATATGCCAGGAATGGTTTATTTGGGTGCATGCACTGGGGATGAAGTTTTGGGGTGCACTCACAACCACCAGAGATGAAGTACTGGGGTACCTTCAAAAAGGTGCATTGACAGTGAGAGCGTATCAAGGTGCATGTACCAGGGATGGCCTTCCAGGGGGCATCCAAAGGGTATATTCAGCAGGGATGGGAAATTGGAGTGCATTCACCAGAGTGATGTTGGGGGGGGGGATGTATTCATAGGGGATGGAAAGTTGGAGTGCATCCAGGGGCTATATTCACCAGGAATGGGAATTTGAGGTGCACCCAGGGAGGTGCATTCACCAGGGATGGGAACCGGGGTGCATGCATTGTGGATGGCATATTGGGGTGCATCCAGAGAGGTGTATGTACTTGGCATGAAGGACTGGGCAGCATCCAGCAGGGTGCATTCACAGGGAATGGGTAATTCAGATGCATTCCCCAGGGACACCCAACCAAGCAGCACCCCATTCTGCCTCCCTGCTCTCCAGCATCCCCCCACCATGGGGCTTGGGGGTCTCACCCTTGGCAGTACTGGTGTCCCACTGCCCTGCCAGGAGCCGCCGCTGGTTCAGGACCTGTTCCAGATCCCGCAGCTTCTGCTCCTCCCGGAGTGCTGCTGTCTGCCGCCTCTTCCGCACTTGCCGGCCAATGTTCTCCTCGTGGCAGAGCCGGCGGGAGGCCTCGGCAATCTGCAGCTGCAGCGCCCGCTCCTGTTCCAGAGGGTCCTGGGGGTGAGGGACACACTCAGAAACACACCTTAACACCCCCAAGCCCCCTATCATGCTTAACACCACAACACCACCCGTAGCACTTGGGACCCCAACCCCTCCCAGCATCACATCTGGGACCCCAACACCCAGCCTCACTCTTGGAACCCAACACCACCCATTATGCTCAGGACCCCACTGCTACCCATAACATTTGGAACCCATCTCCTCCCTTAATTCTGGCACCCTGCTACACCTGGGACCCCCTACATCTGTTACCTTGGCACCCCAACCCCACACATTATCTTTAAGACCCCATGATAACCCCATTAACTCAACATCCCAACACCACCCATCATGCTTGGAACCCTATCTTGTCCCATCTCCTGGGCACCCCAACACCAAACACCGCATTCAGAACCTAAACACCGCCCTTCACTGGGGCATCTCAGCACCCCAACACCACCCATCATGCTTGAAAGCACCCCCTTGCCCCTCTCACCTACAACACTTGGCACCCAACTACCACCCATGGGATGGGGATAGCAACATTTCCAGGTGACCCTCAGGAAGCTTCCACAGCAGAGGAGAGGGAGGGGAGGGGATGGGATGGGTCGGGTCCCCACCACCTTTGCACCCCAGCAACTGCCTCACCACCCCACGCAGAATGGCGATCTCATCCAGCTTGAAGGCAGCCCCGATCCTGCGACGGACCTTGGGGGGCTTCTCGCCAGCTTTCAGGGGGTATTCGCAGGGCAGGGTCCCTGTCAGCTCCTGAGGACGGCACACGGACACTGAGCAGAGCCATGGCAGCATGTGAAGATGGGCAGGGGGTCCTCATGCCCTACTCACCGCCTCACGCAGGCACAGCCGCCGCAGCTCCTGGATGCAGCCATCAAGCTGGGCCTCCAGTGCCTGCTGCTGCCGCTGTCCTGCCTGCACCCGCTCCTTTGGTGGGGACACTGGGCTGTCAGGGCCTGGAACAGACACATGGATGTCTGGAGCTTCCAGGTACCACCCTCCACCACCCCACAGCCTCCCTGCCTTTGTTTCCCTCCACCGCAGAGGGAGGAAAAAGCAGCCATGACCCTCCCAGCAGCACCCATAGGTACTCCAGCTGACCCAAAGCAGCTGTGCCTTCCTTCCCCCACAGCAGCATCCGTGGGTGTACTGATTCCCGTGAATACCTGTTTCCCCCACCGAACAGCACCCACTGGTATTCCAACCCCCAAGGTATCCAGGAACCCCTCTCCCAGCAGCACCCATGGGTCCTCCAATCCCCCAGGATATGCATGACATTCCCCCAGCAGCACCATGGGTGCTTCAGACCCCTCGGGACACATGTGACGTCCTTGCTGGAGGATGGAGGGGGGGGGGGGGGCACAGGAGGAAGGTTTCAGTCTGACTCAGCCATCCCAAGCCAAACCCGTCTGAGTCAAATCCTACCCAGAGCACCCCCCACTACACTTGGGGTGCCTCCCCAAACGCAGGGGAAGCCTCCATTCCTCCACCCCTTCATTTCCCCAAAGCTTTCTCCAGACAGCTCATGTGTCCCTAGTGTGTCCCCATGCACCGAATGCTCCCTTCTCGGACTGAAGGAGGGACACGTCTATCAGAGCACCCATGGGCGACAGCGGCAGTCCAAAGCCTCCCTCACCCCCAAATCCCCTTCTCACCCGAGTGCAGCATGATCCCGCTGTCCATGTCACTTGCCTCTCCCATGCCGCGCCGAGAGCCTGAGGGCAACAGCGGGAACACAGCTCTTCCCTACGCTCCCAGCCGGGCTGCACCCATGGGTGCCTCCCACCCTGCACCACTAAAATCCCTCATGTCACCCCGGGCGTGCCGCGATGGCGGTGGGGGAAGGCGAGGCTATGTTTGCTCTGCCTTCTAGTAGGTCCTACCATAAATAAAGGGTGTGGACTGCTCGAGGCGGAGGAAGGGTGACACCCTCGAAGGGGTCAAAGGTGGTGGGGGTGTGGTGGGGGAAGGGCCGAGGGGACCCTCGCTCCCGCCCCAGCTGGTTTCGCTGGGCACCTCTCCCAGTTTTCCTTTCTTATCCATCGGGGCTGGCGGCGGGTCCTGGCGTGGGAGCGACCGCTGGCCTCGGAAAAGGGGGTCCCCAACACCCCAAGACTCCCAAACTCTTGGAGAGGGAGTGAAGGGGGGGCAGTAGGGCGGGGGGGAGGGGGTTCACACCGCTTTTTCAGCGCCGTCACCGGGCCATGCCTCCGTTTCCCCAGCCCGCTCCACGTCGCACTGGGCGGCCACAGGCAGGACGGAGGTCCCGGGGGTCCCGGCGGGGTTGGAGAATCCCTTACCTGAGCCCGCCGCCGCTGCCGGCTCCGCTGCGCCGGGGCACGGACGGGTCTGGGCTTGAGCGGAGGGAGGAGCAGGGTGAGCAGCATCTGCCCCAGTCTCCGCCCCGCCGGACGGCCCGGCAGCGCTGCGCGGGATGGAGTGGCACCGCACGGCATGGCACACCGGAAGCATGGCATGGAAAGGCATGGTACATCGCAGCAGGGGGTGGTGCAGGTCGGTGTGGTGTGGCACCGCAGCCCAGCACCGCGTAGCACGGTGCTTGCTGGAGGCTCCATCCCTAATACCATGTAGGCATAGGCCAAGCACAAGAACCACTGTCCCCATCCTGGCCCTGGCCATGCACAGCAGGATAATAGCAGGACTATGCCAGGACAGAGCCAGGATGGTGCCACCATTGTCCCAGGATGGTGCCAAGGCTCTCCCAGGCTGCGAGAGGATGATGCTGCAGCCACTGTGGCCCCTCTGAGCTGGATTGGAGTGAGCTGGGCACATCCTGCATTGCTATACCTGGCAGGGTGGGGAAGGATTCTCATGGGATGGGGCTAGGCAGGATGGGGTGAGAAGGCAGGGAATAGGCAAGGTGCAAGCAGGGGGATACAGGCAGGGGATGCAGGGAGCAGGCAAGGAGTGCAGGGAGCAGTCGGGGTGCAGATTCCCCAGAACAATGGCCTACTCCCCGCCTTGGTGCCCAGGGTGGCGCTGTCAGCCTGCGGCTGTTGGTGTGAGACCTATTCAAACCAGTGTCTCTTCCTCCCTCCCAGTGGGCTCCAGCTGCAGGTGGAAAGGGCAGGAGTGAAACGCATTTAACTGTGGAAATGGAAAAAAACACCAGAAGATAGAGAAGAAAGGAGAGGGAGACTGAAGGAGTAAGGAAGGCTCTGTGCCACGACGGAATGGCTGAAGGCTTTGGATGGACACCAACTGCAGTTGGGCTGGTGGCACCACTGGTAAAATGAGCCAGTGACCACCATGACCACCCTCCATCCCCACCATGCACCATCAGCCCAAGGCAATGCCACTCCATCCCCGTCTCTGTCCCATGTCCATCAAGAAAACCAGATAAAAAACTTTATTTGGTTCTTTTCTGGTTCATGGAGTCAGGGCAGGTGCAGGGCAGGGTGAGAGTGTTGCCTGCATCCCCTGTATCACCCCTGGCACTGCCCTGGCCTTACCAATTCCTTCCAGCCCTGGCATCCTGGTCGTCACTGGCATGGGGACACCAAGGCTCCAGTACTCACCCTCAACCACAAGCAGTGCCAGGTGCTGTTCCCAATGCCAGGATGTGCCGGGGATGGGGGCAGCCCAGTGTGTGCTGGGGGGCTCAGGGAGCTCTGCTGAGTTGGCTTTGTCTCACGTGTGCCAGGCATCTGCCTCTGCCAGCTTCATCTTCTGCAGGCTGTCCCACACCTGCAGGAACCTGGGATGAGGGTCTGGCTCTGGCCCAGCCACCTCCCACTCATGCTGCAGGAGAGGCAGCCATGAGGCCTGGTTGGGATTCCCCCAGCCCTCCCCATGACCTGGTTGTCTCCTGACACGGGTGTTGCCTCAGCTGTTACCATGACCTGGTCACTGCTGGCCATCCCTTGACCCATGTCCACGCCATCCAGCTTCCTTTAGCCACTCCTCAAGTTACCTGAACATTACTCAGCCAAACTGCCCCAACAGCCTGATCAGCACTTGGCCTTCCCCAAGGAACGACATGGATAAGTAGCTGGATGAACAAGTGGAGGGTGGGTGGGTGGGTGGGTGGGTGGATGGATAGATGGATAGATGGTTGGATGGATGGATGGATGGATGGATGGATGGATGGATGGATGGATGGATGGATGGATGGATTCATGCTTGTATGGATGGATACATGGGTGGATGAATGGATGGAAGACAGTGAGGTGAAGGCAGGAGAGCTGGCCTGGATGCAGGGATGGAGGCTGGGACAGGCAGACAAGGACAAAGGTACATCACGGACCTCCTCAAGTCTCTGGTGGTACTTCCTCAGCTGCTGCTCCAGGTCAGATGGGGGTCCCTGCAGCTCCTCCTCTCCAGCACCCTTAGAAGCTTAGCCGTGTGCCGGGGCAGGATCCCCCTGTGGTGATGGACATGCTTCAACTGGCCGCCACACCTGGACACCCAGCTGGAGGCAGGCCCATTCCCATGCTCACCTCCTGTGGCTGAAGAGTAGCTCCTAGTGCAGGTCCTGGTGGCTACAGGACTCCCATATCAGGTTTGGCACCTTAGGCTGAATAATGCTCCTGTGGCCATCAGGGGACAGGTCCAGGGAGAGAACATCACTCCTGTCACCTTCTGGAGAAGCAGTAGACCAGCAGGGGATGGGAGCACCAGGGGATGAGTCACCAGAAGCATGGAGTCACCAGTGGAAAAGCATCACCGGGGATGTGGTCACCACAAGGGATGGGACAACCTGGGACAGAGTCACCAGGGGATGGGGAGAAGCCAGTACAGGTTGAGATCTTGGACACCAGCCCCTGTGTCCCACAGCCCCCCTGTGGTCTTGTGGTGCCACAGCCCGGAGTCTTCACATGCTGCTCCCAGCACCCTCAGTGTCCCTGTCCCAGGCCACCTTGTGGTCCTAGGCTATCCCATATCTTCCCATCACTCCTTAGGGTCCTCATTATCCCTGGAGTACCCACCACCCATCAAGTGCCCATCACCTCTCAGGTCCCCATTGTCCCTTGAGGTCCTCATGGTTCCTGGGGTCCCCATCACCCCAGGGGTGTTCACTATCCCTCAAGGTCCTCATTACTTCTTGGGGGCCCTGTCACCTTCAGGGCCCCTATTGTCCCAGGGATCTCCCTCACTCCAAGGTCCCCATCACCTCTGGTGTCCTGTTGTCCCTGTGTCCCCTTCACCCTTGGGGCTCCCAGCACCACTGGGGTCCCCATCAGTCCAGGTGTCAGCACTGTACTCTGTGCCCTCATAACCTTCTGTTGCCGCAGGTCCCCAGCCAGGTAACAATTAGCATTGAGTCCATGATTGCAGAAGGCTGATCAATTGCTTTATTATCTCCTCCTATACTACATTATACTATACTTATTAAGAAACTCAGTAACCCTTCCAGCCAATCCGATCCAGCTTTGACCTAATTGGTCAATCCATCCAAGCACCATCCAGTGTCCAATTGAGAAATCACCCTTCGGTAAACAAATCTCCATGAGACATTTCACATATGCACAACAGCAGGTGCAACAAGTGGAGATAAGAATTGTTTCTCATTGTTTTCTCTGATCTTCTCACAGGAAAAAGCCTGGGAAAGTCTGTGCCTGCTCTCTGTGGCCAGAGGGCTGCTGCCACAACCTTCAAGTTCTCACTGTCCCTGGGATCCCCATCACCCCCACGGTGTCAATCATTCCTCAGGGTCCTCATTACTCCTTGGAGCCTCTATTGCCTTCAGCATCCCCACTGTCCCTGTGTTCCCCATTGCTCCTGAGGGCCCCAGGTTCACATGACTCTTCGGATTCCACCACCCGTGGTCCCCATAACATCCAGTTTCCCATTGTCCCTGTGTCTCCATCACTCCTGGCATCCCCATTGTCCTTGGGGTACCCATCACGCCCCATCCCCATTCCCTTGGGTCCCACAGTCCCATGTCCTAGTGCCAGCACCCCCCAGCACTGTGCTGCTCCTCAAAGCTTTGTTATCACCCTGGCAAAGCTGTCACTAGTGGAGACCAAATCAACCCCTGATGGTCCTCCTGCTGGGCGCTGTGGCTGGCCATGGTGGCTGGGTCAAGGAAGCAGGAGGAGAATGGATATTTACTATGTTAGCTCTGGAACTTAAGGAGGGCGAGGGGTCCTCAGGCTGAACACCAGAGGACAGGCACTGGAGTCTGCTGGAGGCACAGGGAACACTGGAAGCACCAGATTCACTTGGGCTGCACTAGGTTGACTGAGGGCACTGGGAACATTGGGGACATTGGGAGCATGGGGTTTGCTGGGAGCACTGGGACTGCTGGGGGCCCTGGGAACACTGGGAGCATTTGGGACTGCTGGGACACCAGAACCACTTTGGGCCACTGGGGCCACTGGAGGCACTGGGAACATGGGGGTACTGGGGTCACTGGGAAACTGGGACAGCTTGGGGCTCTGGAGTCTGCTGGGTGCACTGGAAACACAGAGAGCACTGAGTGGTGGGCGCTGAGAACCCTGGGGGCCCTGGGGATTGCTGTGAGCACTGGGAACACTGGTGTTGAGTGCACTGGGGACCACTGGATTATGTGGGTTACTGTGGGAGCTGAGGGTTGCAGGAGAAACTGGGCTGGGAACTGGATCCACTGGGTGTTACGGGAGATACGAGGAGTTACTGGGAGCACTGGGGGTCAGTTGGGAGACTTATGGGGGATACTGGGATGAGGATTGGGTGGCACATGATGTTACTGGGAAGGACTGGGATACTGGAGGCACGGGTTTATTGGAGGACCTGGGGTTACTGGGGAGGACTGGCAATTACTGGAAGAACTGAGATGGGGACTGGGTGCTTAGAGAGGGGGTCTTAGGGTTAGACTGGGAGTTACAGGGGAACCTGGGGGTCAGATTGTACTGGGGGGTTACTGGGATGACTGGAACTCACTGAGGGATGGAATGGAGACTAGTTGCACTTGGGTGGTACTGGGATACTGGGAGGACTGAGGGTTACTGGGGGTACTGGTGGGTACTTGGGTTGCTGCCATGGGGACTGGTTGCACTGGGGAGGTACTGGGAGGACTGGTGCTTACTGGGGGCTAGGATGAGCACTGGGCGCTGGAAGGTTATGGGGAGATTGCGAGTTGCTGGAAAATCCAGAGGTCACTGGTGTCTGGTTGCATTGGGGTGTTACTGGGAGGACTGGGGATTACTGGGAGTACTGGTGGGTTACTGGGAGGACTGGAATGGGGACTAGGTGCACTGTGGGATACTGAGGGGTCACTGGGGCACTGAGATGGGGACTGGCCACACATTGCTGAGCACCCAGGCAGCTCCTGTGTCAGCAGCGCTCGGTTTCACTGGGGTTTACTGCGCTCAGGTTTACTAATGCTGCTGGCGGGGACCAGACCGTACTGGTGCTGTACCACACTGGTGCTGTGCTGGACCTTACTGGGGCTGTACCAGACCATACTGGGGCTGTACCGGACCATACTGGTGCTGTACCGGCCCATACTGGTGCTGTGCCGGACCATACTGGTGCTGTACCGGCCCATACTGGTGCTGTGCCGGACCATAGTGGTGCTGTGCCGGACCATACTGGGGCTGTGCCGGACCATACTGGGGCTGTACCATACTGGGGCTGTACCGGCCCATACTGGTGCTGTGCCGGACCATACTGGGGCTGTACCAGACCATA